GATGCGGCGTGCCCCGGCTCTGCCTTCCCTCTCTTTGCTCCCGGAGTCTGGCAGCACCACGAGTCCCAATATTTATATATATATATATATATATAATAGAGGGGAGCGATCAAACAGAGGCGCACAAGGGCTGGAAGGCTGGGTTAATGGACTCAACACTGCCACTGCCTGACACAACCGCGGCAGTGTTGGGGGGCAGGGGAGGTGCGAGCTCTCCCAGCCCTTCCCCTTGAAGCCCTCTCACTCCCACACAGGATCTTGAATGCTTCAGCTGCCGCCTAAAAGTATGGGGCAGCCGTAGGTAAGTGATGATGACTTGATGGATGCGCAGATGTTAGGGGCTGGAAAGGGATGCCCGTGTTCTTTTGATGGAGAAGGGCATGGAGGCTAAGCAATCGCCCCTCATTCTTGGGGCTTTAGGTGCACCCTCAAGCCAACCTTGTGGCTTGTGGGAATTAGTTTAATCCAGCGGTTTGAGGTCTTTTTAGGCTGGAGACACCCCCCTGCAAAATGCCAGCTCTGAGTTTTCACTCATTTCTTTTGAGTACGGAAAAAAGACTAGAGCAATCCTTCTCCAATAGAGCTGCACAAGATTGCCGTGGGGCAGGAAGGCTTTAGCACTGTGGATTCCCATTTGAAATCTCTGGGTTTATTTTGTGAATCCTGTCTGCACACGTAGCCATGCACTGCACCCCCACGGCACCCTCCAAAGGATCTCGAGGCACCGCAGCATCCTGGTTGAGAATCACTGATTTAGCAAGACTTCGGGTCCATCCACAATAAAGTTCCTGTTGAATTTATTCTGGGATCCTATCTTGCTTGGGTAGCATCACTGGGCTACCCTCCCCTCACCCATCCCAGGTTGTGGCTGCCCTCCTAAGTGGTTAAGGAGCAAGGAGCTTCTTCCCTTTACACTAAGGGCTAGCCACAGCTGCCCTCTTTATAGTTCCCCACAGGGCAAGATGGGCTAGAAAATGGTGGGTAGACAACAGAGTCTTCCCTTTAAGGGCTGTAGCTGAGGGTATGCTCCTGTGCCTATGACTCCAGGCAAAGTACCATCCAGAGCTCCAGCAGGCGATTAGGGTCTGGACAGTCTCTAAAGGTTGAAAAACACTGGCATCATTTTCAGTCCAGCACACGCAGAACAAGACAAGCCACTGCTATTGCCTTGTGGTACTCCACCGCCAAGCATGCATGTCCAGTATGGGAATGATCAGGCCATGCCAAGAAACCAAACCCAGTTCTAAATGGGAAGTGTCATGAAATAACTGGATATCTAAAGCCAACACCAAAAGACAGCTTGCACTTGCTGGTTGTCGCCATACCAATTGACAGGGCTGTGCGAAATGGCGCTGTTCCGTTTCGACTTCAGTTTCGTGGTGTGGATGGAAGTGTTTTGTTTTGAATTTCATTTTTGAGTCGAAACAGCTGTTCCGTTTCACTTCGTCGAAACAGTCAGGCTGTTTCTACGTTTCGCCTGACCATTGGGCTGGGGAAAGGAACTGAGCCCAGCTGGGCTGACTTCTCATCCCCAGCCCGATCTGTCTCCCACCACCTTGCTGCTGGCTGCTTCCAAACTCGGAACATTTCAACACGTTTGAAATGTTTCAACTAGCCTCATTTTGTTTCGAGGCTGGTTCAAAGTCCTTTGTTTCGATTCAATTTTGCTGTTTCCAGCTCAAAATGAGTTGAAACAGCATCGAATCGAAACAGCCGGTGAAATTTCGCACAGCCCTACCACCTGATACTAGAAGAAAAGTAGAGAGCCAAAAAGAAAGATCACAGCAGGTGGAAGCCCCCCTGACATCCATCCTGTGGTCACACAGAAGTAACCAAGTGGCTCGAGGAAGAGTTGTGCGACCAGTATTGCACCCTCGGACGCTATGGCTGATGGTGTGACTGAGGTTATGGCAGGAAAGATTAGGTGTGACCAGATGCCTTGAAATGCACCTGGAAACCCAGGAGGACCTTCCCAGAGGGGCTGATACAGACTGGTCAACATGGCAATGCCTGAACAGCCTGTGCACACCAACGGGAAGATCAGAAACACATATGATCAAACACTAATGACACGAATACATGAGACTGCGGTGAAGTGCAGAGTAGACCATGGAGCACCTGCTCATTTGTCGACTCCTTGGTGAGCCCTCTACAAAGGAGGACCTTGCTGCAGCAACAGGAAGAGCCATCATTTGTGCATGATTCTGGAAAAACATCTAGGATGTGAGAAGCAGAAGAGTGATCAAAGGCCTAGAGCACTGAATGTGTCTGCTAAAAGCCTTTAGGTGCTCTCATGAGTTTCCTTATTGCTGGGGTCAGAACAGAATCACCGTTCAAAACCCTCTTTATGACTGCTTAGCCATGCTACCTGCAATACCTGGGATAAGGAGGTAACAACTGGTGACTGTTCTCTATTCATTCTTCTACTTCTTCTCTTCCCACCTGTACTCACTGTGCTCACCTGTACTCACTAGCAACAAGAACCAAACATGGAAACGCCAAAGCGGAACCTGTCCCCCAAACAAAACTTGAAAAACTTTGGAGTTGGAAGCCAGCATTGATGGAAAGGGAAGGAAGAGCTGTCCTTGAAATCAGCACTTCCACATGCATTGGGTTTGGCATTGTTTTAGACCAAATCTGAACTAACATTTTGTCATTTGTAGCCAAATGAAACCAAAAAAAGAAAGTTCCAACATTTCTTGCCAGAATTAGAATGGGTGTTTTTCAGAGGGAAAAAAAATGATTTTGAGAACTGCTGGAAGGTAATTTTTTTTCTCCAAGGAAAATTCCATGAAGGAATTTATTAGTCATCATCTTCTTCCTCATTTTATAGATGAAGCAGCCAACAGATAGATGCCAGGAGACCTGCCCCGGCCAGTTTGTGCAGAGTTAACAATAGACCTGGCAAGAGTTTTTCAAATGAAAGATTTTTTTTTCTTTCCCCTTAATTTTTATCAAGAAAAGAAAGAAAAAGATGGCTGATTTTGAAAGATATCACAGGAAAGAGGGTTATTATTATTATTTTTTAATTGTCAACCCATCCCATTACAACAATTAAAAAATAAATCATTTTCTGGGTCATAATTACTCTTTAGCTTTAAAATGTAATTCATTTCTATTTAGAATGTAGAAAGAATCATAATCAAAAATGGTATTTTTTGACTAACATGCACTGATTTTTAATTTTTTTTATCACTTTGCAGACATTTTCAAGATTATGAATTTGCCTCTCAATTTGAGACAGGGGAAAATCGGTTGTTGCGTGATTGGAAAACTATTTCCTAGTCAAAGGTAAGGCCACAAATCCTGCAAAGACTAATACGTTTCATGAACCATGAGTGGCCCTGCTGATTTCAGTGATTCTTGTGCGTCAGCTTAAGCAGACGTCTGTTTTTGTGTCGAAGTCTCTGGACTCCCTGGACTTAATCCGCGAGAGCACCACCACTTGGATTTGTTATCTGATAACCTCACTTTAGGAGCTCCATTACCGCACGTTAGGCCAACGGATGACTAAGCTTCGAGTTGTTGTTGTGGAGAAGGAAAATTAATTCTCCTTCTGGGGAGATATTTTACATAAAAAAAAAATACAACCCAAAGTTTAAATCTTTTCAATGTAGACTGAAAATTGTGCATACCTAAATTTGTGAAGAATCTTGATGGCGTGTCACGGGCAGATGTTTTGCAAGGACGGCTGAATCCCTGCAAAAGGTTTTGAGTAAAACCTGCATATATTTTTCACTAAAAAATTGACAATTTTTATTTTTTTTTAAGACATTGGCCAGACCCATTTACTTATTTCATTGCTATTAAGCCTCTCACAAGTAAAATCATAGGACAGCAGGGCTGGAAGGATCCTCCCAATGTCATGTGCAAGCTCTAGGTAATCCAGGTGTGTGAACTCCAGATGTTTGAACTACTGATCAATATGCATCTATTCATTGGGCTTTGCTGCACCATAAGCCATAAGAGATGATATATAGAAATAGTTGAATGCAAAGATAAAACTGTGTATTTTCTTTCCCCTTGATTTTGCAAGATTGAAAATGCTGAAATTCACCGATTTTAATTGCTCCAAAAAAAAAAAAAAATCACAAAAATTGCTCTTGAAATCCGCTTTTTTTTTTTTCTTTCTCAGCAGCTCCCTCCCATGTTACTCCTCATTTATGGATTATTATTGCTATTAAGTATTATTTTCATTAGCACCTTGCAGCCCCCCTCATGGACAAGGGCCCAAACTCAGTACAAACATAGAACAACAGCAACAAAATACCACTCCATGACCCAAAAAGCCTCCTACTGGTTATTTTCCCCACTTTATTCCACAGAATAAAATCTTGGCTGAACAGCAACATCAGATTGCAGTGTGGGAGGTAACTACATGAAAGGTTTGGTTTGAAGTCCAAATTATCTCACGTATTGGATCTGTCTTCAGCCCTCTTCCCCCTAGGAAGCTAGTGACTAAACATTATAGTTATACTAGGATGTATGTCACTGTTTTACAGTGCAATGATGCAAGCATTTGCTGAAATACTACCAGAAGGACAAGATGTGACCTTTGATCAGGGAATAGGCATGCGAGTCCTTTTGAAAGTCTCAGAACATCTGTCTTCTGCACCTCTTACAACACTTACCATTTTTCACCACTATTACTGTTATATTTTGCAATCTCCCCCTAGCTAACATGTAGCATGCAATTTATGGGCTTTTGGATGCATGGTAGATCCCTTCCTTTCTAAATAACTGTAGAGAAACTAATTATCATGAAGCATCTAACAAATATTAGAAGTCCTCATATGCAACTTGGTGGGGTGAATAAATTATGGACATTGAATTTTAGACAACTTTATCACTCTGATTACAAATGTACATGTATATTGAGCTTAATAAACTAGTATGTAAGAATAGGATGCATAGCAATCATGTAAGGCACAAGTGAAAAATAACCACAATGAAATGTGGTGACCAGCAGTTTATATAACCATACTATTTGGCAGTTTAGGACAAGACATGAATATGAATACTGGATCTATTTGAAACTTCCAGGTACTGAAAGATTTTCTAATCTAGCAGAGACAGGCATTAGAAGAAAGAAAATGTGTAAGCCAACAAAAGAAAAAAATGTGTTAGAAAGATGACACATGTTTTTTAGCAGGAAGACTGATTTACCCCCCTAAACAAAGAGAAAGTGCATTCTTCATCTCAAGTGGAGGTCTTCCTAGAAGATATGCTTCAATGAAACAAGGCGTTGGGCTCTTTATGAGAGCACACATTAATATGTTAAGAACTGACTGACAGATCTCAAAATTATTGGCCATGGGGGTTCATCATTTAATGGCGAAATTTCTAATGAGGTCCTACAGGATCTTGTTTTCAGGGGACAATGAGAGTGGTGGAGTGCTAGATTAGGGTGACAGGGCAGTCTTACAGGGCAGTATAGGTCACTTGGTAAACTGGGCTCATGCAAACAAAATGTGGATTAATTCAGTCAAATGCAAGTTGTACATCCATAAACAAGGTGCGTGCAACTAACTTATGGAAGGGGGAACTACATCTTGGAAAGCAGGGACTCTGAAAAAGGAGTTGGGGTCATAGTAGGCAAACAACTCAACATGAGCTCCCAGTGAGATGCAAAGAAGAGCTAAAAGAAGGCCCAGTACCTTGGATGTAAACCCAGGGGAGTAGGGAGCAGGAGTATGGAGGTGATTTTCTCTCTGTAGACACTGATGGTGATATAGGTACTAGAATATTCCACATAGGTCTAGCATCTACATTTTAAAATGGAAATCATAGAAAATAAAGATTGGAAGGGGTCGTCTAGTCTATCCCTCTGCCCCATGACAAAATCAACTCTATCTACCCCACTGCTCCTCAACCAAGCGCTATGGCACCCTACAAGTTCTTCTGAAGAGTGAGTGGTGTGAGAGGACAAGCATAGGCTCGGCCTCTCTTTTGCCTGGCCGCTCCCTGCCCCCATGGTCTAGCCCTTTTACAAGGAGGTAAACACACGCTCATCCCAGTGTGGCTCTTCTCCTTTACCCCTCCCCGCACCCAAACACATTACCTGGCTGCTGTATAAGGAGGCAAGCACTGTAATAAATACATTACTTTTTGATATGCCATCCAATTAAAAAAAGATACGGAGGGGTGCCTTGAGTCTAAAAAGGCTGGGAACAACTGATCTACCCGTTCCTAACAGATGTTTGTCTAACCCGTTCTTAAAAACCTCCCACGCTGGAGACTCCACCGTCTTCTTAGGTCCTCCTTTCCAATTCTTTACTATTCTCAGGGTTAGAAAATGCGTCTCCCTGTTGATGTGCAGCCTCTATCTCCCTTGATGAAATGTGGGTCTTGTACCCTTGCTCTTTCCCCAGTGGACATGGGATACAGTTTATAACTTCTCTATAGTAACTTTTTATAGACTTACATGTCTCCTCTGTTTTCTCTTCTGTAGAGTAAAGAAACCCAATTCTTCTAATCTTCCTTCAGGTCACTTGTTTTAGACCAGTGATCATTTTTGTCACTCTCTTCTGGACTCTCTCCAATTAATCAAGATCCCTTTTGAAGTGTAGTGCTCCAAACTGAATGTACTAATCCTGTTGAAACCTTACCTATACTGAGCAGAATGGAAGAATTATGTTGCCTGTTGACACTCCTATTCATGCATCCCAAAGTGATGTTTGTTTTTCTTGCAGCTGTACGACACTGTTGACTTATATTCAGTTTATGATCCCTTAATAATCTCCAAATCCTTTTTTTTTTTTTTTGGAGAAAAGCTACCTAACCAGTTATTCCCAATTTTGTCATTGTGCAGTTGATTACTACCTAAGTGTATTTCTTTGCATTTTTCCTTACTGAATTCTAGCTCATAGAATCATAGAAAATTAGGCACAGAAGGGACCTCAGAAGATCATCTAATCCAACCCCCTGCTCAGAGCAGGACCATCCCCATGAAAGAACATCGCTCATATTTGTCAAGATAAGTCTGAATTGTAACTATCCCCCAAAGGGCTTGCAACCCTCCTGGGTTGGCATCATCTAAAATGTAATAAATATCTCAGTTTGCATTATCAGAGAGCCCAGAGATACCTCACCACGTAAGACATTCCCGGCCAGAAGATCCTGGTTGCCACCAAACACCTTCAAGGTAAACAGATTATTCCAACTTTTCTCTGAGCCTAATCTGCATAAAATGAGCTGTTCCAAACAGGAGATTTTACCACAATTTCAACTCTCCTATGATATATGAACTTTCATTTCTACCCAGGAGATCTTTTACAATCTTTTCTCCTATGCCTGAAGAAGGTACCTGTGCCCTAAAGTTTGCAAATAAATATTTTTTGTTGTTGTTGTTGCAAATATCTAGCTGGTCTAATAAAATATATCACCTCAAACATGAATTCTGATTCATCTTCCAAAATCATTAATGCAAATATTGACTTAGACCAGGGTGGGCAAAATGTGGCCCGGGGGCCAGATGCGGCCCACCAGGCCATTCTATTCGGGCTCGCAGGGCCCCTAAAAAAATTAGAAAATGAATATATCTGCCCCTGGCTGCCTGGCACGTGGCCCTTGATGGCTTGCCAAAACTCAGTAAGCGGCCCTCCGCCCAAAATAATTGCCCGCCCTTAACTTAGACCAAGTCCGAGACTGATCTCTACGCAACCCTATGGCCCTCTACATGTTACAGGTATCACACACAATTCCTGGATAATTGCACAATTACCTTGAGACCAGCTACACCTGCAAAGTACTTATCATACAATAAAAAGCTTCAACCAGCTACAAAGTTAGACCTCAAAAATGTGCACTAAACTTATAGCTGGTTGCTAATGAGCTTGAATGTAGTAGGGTCTCCCCTCTGCGGCTGGGAGCCTCATCAGCTGTGGACTCCCCGCCACAGGGATGCATCTTGCCCAGC